TATCATTCTTGAAAGCAAATAGATTAGTGATACATACAGGTATTTATGTATCCTCTTTTTGTCTCATATCTTTTCTTTCATTTGATTTTTTCACGATGCGCAGTGTAACACTTTGAACATTACTGTGTCTATTTATGTATAAATGTAGATGATAAAATATGATATTGCATAGTTACGTTTTAAAATGAACTTATTGTTATTAAATTTAGCTGTATTTTTTTTTCGTGAATTATGGTCAGATTTTTAAAGCCTTCCACATTCTCTAATAGTGATGATGGCTCTTTGAATAGTTTCAAAATGAACATATTGGCAATAATTCTGCAAAGATATATGAAAGGAAAAAAAATTAAATGGGTGCATTAGATGGAGATCTATATATCTGTGTGGTATTTGATCAGGCGAGAAAATGAGAGGAGACGTGGCTGGTTTTGCATTCTTTCAAAATCTCCTTTTTAATTCCATTTTTTTATTTACTTATTTTTTTCAGAATGAAAAAAATAAATTATCCACATTAATTTATATATGCATCAGGCCAGCTGATTCATGTTCACTTCAACGACGACTATTCTTGAGATCCACAATAAAAATAAACAAATAAATATTGGAAAAAAACAAATACTCTCTGTAAATAAAAACATTTGGGAGTTTGTTCACCAATCATATATATATATGCATGGGACATTTGTTATATCATCATTGAACTGCATGCATGTTAAAAGTACAAGTGATATATATAGTCTCAAGACTTTGGCACTCTAAAATTTGACTTAACAATTCAACAAATTGTACTCCTTATGTTCACACATTAAATATATTAAGTACCGTCCAAATGGACAGGTGTGTATGAGAGAAAAGGGGTCACAATTCAATGTACAAAAAGATATGCTCCAAGTCCTCTTAAAACCCTCAATACAAATTTTGGAATTATACTTTTCAATTTTTTTTTTCAATTTGACTTGACACAAAGATTAAGAAAAGTTAAAAAGTATAAAGACTTTCCATGTATCATCCTTGATGTAATAGAATAAATAAAGTGTATAATGTAAATAAAAAGTGGGGAATAATGGTACAAGAAACGGGAAAGAAATTTTTGGACAGCCCAAAAAAGAAAGTAATAAAGAAATTAGTAGACCGAGAGACTATTGCAGTGCATGTATGTAATATCTCGTTTATTCTTATTTAATTGATCATTATGATTTTAATCATAATGAATGTAGATGTATCATATGTTGTTTATTATGTACATTCAACTTTTAATGGAAGACAAAAATTACTCTCTTTTGTCTTATATTATTTTCTTATTTTTCCATTTGGACTCATAGTTAGTCTCATTCAACGAATTCAATCAAAAACTCAAATTTGTGATTATAAATTTAATTAAGAAAAGGTTTTATACTCTAACAAGCTCCTCATAATTTTTTAAATATCATACTCCCTCCGTTTCTCAAGACCCTTACTCTTTCATTTTTTTGTTTTTCTTAAAACACTTCCATTTTCTATTAAAAACCATTTTTACCCCTACTTTTTCATACCTTACCTATCACATCATACTTTTTCACTAATAACTAAACTATCACATCTTACTTTTACCCATCATATCAGGGGCAAAATTGGAAAGTCAACTAAAATTACACTTTTCTTATTTTTCCCTAAAGTCAAAAGAGGAACCGTTTTGAGAAACGGAGGGAGTATAAAATCAAATCAGGAAGAAAATTATGCAAAGAAGTGAAAGAAGGAAGGAATACTGTAATAGCCAATTTGATGCATGTGACTGGAGGGGCATATAAATATCCTCTATTTAGATATATACGGAGTATCAAACAAACTCATTTTATTATTCTACACATTTCTCTAACTCCATGCAATAAAAACTTGTTCTAATAGCATGACATAATGTAGATAAGAGAGAATGGTTGCCTAGTAACATGTAACTTGATGATGATATTTTATTAGCTAGTTGATTTTTAGATGACACTCTTAGACAATTATAAGAATATTATTATAACAGTTGTGGTAATATTAGTTATGGTAGTATTTGTATTTTAATCAGTTTATATTATTGATTCTTATTTTTAGTTGAGATTATAATCCCCTGATTCCCCTCTATATATACTTTGTCATTATTTTTTTGAACAATACCATTATTCCATTATTCAATATGGTATCGAAGCTAAGATATCTCTTTTCAAAATCCTAGCCTGCCTTCTTTTGATCTGCGACCATGCCCCACCATCGGTCTTCTTCTTCGACGATCAACCACAATAGATCATGACATCATTGTCCATTATCCCTCTCTCTTTCTTTAAAAAAAAAGAAAAAAAGAGAGACGTGGGTGCTTAACAATCATCACTGATCTCGATGAGTGTGTCTATCAGCCATTGTCTGTGTTTTTTTAGAAATTGAGAGCATGAAAAACGAGATAGAGAATCAAATAATGAAGCCGCGATCTTCTCTGTGGTTTCAGACTCTTATTTTCAAGTTTCTACTCGTTACACGAGTTCAGCTTGAAAAAAAATGTTAGACAATTATGATAAAAAATGGTAATATGAGTTATGGTAGTATTCATATATATTTTAATCAGCTTCTATTATTGATTTATATTCTTAGTTGAGGTTGTAATCCCCTCTAGATACCTTGACATGTATTTCATTAATCCTTGAATAATACAATTATTCCATTATTCAATAGATACATACTTTTTTCGCCCCGAATTAATTAGATTAGTGCCCTTTTTAGTTAGTTTTAAAGTATACTTTTTTATTTTACTAACAAGGTAAATGATGTGTTACATAATTTTTTTCATTCTTCTTAAAAAATTTCAAAACACCACTCACCTTTTATTTTTTATAAACTTTGTGAAGTCAATTTGAGACAATAAATTCGAGACGGAAGGAGTAGTAAATATTGAATACTCCCTCCGTCCCATAAAACCTTTCTCCTTTCTTTTTTTATCCGTTTCACAAAACACTTCTCGTTTCTATTAAAAAGTCACTTTTACCCCTTACTTTTTCATACCCTAACTATCACATCATATCTTTTTACTAATAATCTATCCATCAAATCATACTTTTACCCATCACATCAAAGGACATTTTTGGAAATTCAATACCAAAATACACTCCCCTTAAATCCTTCCTAAAAAGCAAAAGTCTCATGTTTCATGGGACGGAGGGAGTATAACTGAGCATGAGCTTGTTATTCTCTTCGCAGATTGGATATTAGTATATATATACTTTTGTAGTAATATAGACATTAATGTTCAAAATTTTATATCACATATTCTAAAAAAAATAAAAACAAAAGAAAAATATAAGGCGGATAAGGTGTTAAATAGTTCGTCTTATATACAAATTTTTTTAAAAAATATTATTTTAATTGCAAACATTAAAAATGTAAAGAATTTAGTTTTCCCTTCTCTTACACTATGTTTGGTTCTAGAAATTTGAAAGAGAAAAGAAAAGAAAATGAGATGGAAAATAATATTCTTGTTTGGTTAGAGAGAAAAGGAGAAAGAAAAGAAAATAAGAAGACAAATATTATTAAGAGAGGGAAAATCAAATTATTTCCATTTTGGTGAGGAAAATGAGAGGAACCTTTTTTTCTTTTCTTTTCCTTCCAAATCATTGAACCAAATATAATGTTAGTATATTTTGCCTTCTAATTTTCTTTTTTTCTTCTCTACCTGAACAAGAAAAATATTTTCTTTCTCATTTCTTTTCTCTCTCAAATTCTTTGAACTAAACATGGTGTTAGAAAAAGCTTTGAGAAAGAAGGGGTACCTCCCTAGAAGACTTATCACGGAGTTTATGTATCGGGCCTCCAAAAGTTATGGACTGGCCCGGTTAATAACTGATCAAAACACTGGAATTGAACCATAATGCAAACGGGTTATGAGTCCAATGGGCTTAAGGCTCGCCTCGTTGGAAGGATGCGCCTAACCAAATCTCCATCTTCATTTACTCCACATTAGACTTGATTAATTGGTACAATTTTTATTTAATTGGTACAATTTGACTACACGAATTTAGAAAAATATTGAAAAGTAATAAATTAGTGACTAAATTTTGTTCAGAAAGAAAACGGGAAATCTTTGGCCATATATATATTTTGGTTACGAGAGAAAAGAAACGTGACAAATGTCCGTTACAAATAAGAATAATGACACTAAGGTTTGATATTGTGTGTTTGAGACAATAATGGTACCATCCTTGGTGGGTATATAGCATGACTCTTGGGAGTATATTGTCTTCCAGAGACCAGAGTTAAATAACGTGTAAATATTTATCAGAAGCTAAATAATTTGTGGGTGTCATGAGATATCTCATACTCCATATAAACCCATATACCTTTTCCAAAGAGTAAAATTTTAAAATTGCTCCTTTATAACAAAAATTTTTCATATTTTAGTGTTCTATTATCAAATATTATATCTGTAATTCTTTTTTATGAATACTTTTCCATAAGTAGGCTTTTTATTTTCTATCATGTGTTAATTTGAGAGATAATAATGAAATTTCCCAATGATCATATATCTTTTTTGTCATACACAATGTCAGAGGTTTCTTCTGATATGTTGTTTGTGAATCGCAATTGATGTGTACTAGAGCCTTAGCCTATAGGCTATAGATGAGGTCTTTCATCGGAATCAAAGTCTACAATTATAGTGATTATTGTTGTATTGTCCAACTAACCAACATCAAAATACGTCACTGGACATAGGGTTGATATCAAATTACACTTTTAGCCTTCAATTTAACACCAAAAAAATGGTCATAGTTAAAAAAAGACAATTCGTGGAAAGATATCCATAAAAGAAGAACCATTGACGTAATATTTGATAATAGGTGACTAAATATGAAAAACTTCTTGTTATAAAAAAAGAATTATAGAATTTACTTTTTTCCAATGGATCCATCTGAAATACTTCACATAACAAAAACAGGTTCTTGTTAATAATCTGTCACAAGTTTCATCAAAAGCTAAGCAGCATAATCAACTACCATTTCATCATCATCATCATCATCATCTTGTTATTGCCGAGAGATGGTCTTTTACTTTTACCCTTGTTGGAGCTTCATCTCCATAGCCGCCACTTTCGGTTACTAATTCACTGTACGTTTGTTCGATGATCTCCCTCGTTCTCTTCTCACATTCCAGTGTTTGGACTGCCTTAAAGAATGCAGCTTCTGTTTCAGACAGTTCTTTGCAGAGCTTCTTGTTCAAGCCCTCTGATCTCCTCCTCAGTTTTCTTTCTACATCAAGTTCACTTTCAAGTTTCTGCATAGCATTCGCTTTCTCTTCAGCCAAACGCTGCATAAGATAGCTGACCCGGCTTTGCTTGTCCGGGCGCTGTTCTTGAATCACACGGTGGACCTGCATTCGGGCCCGCTCGAGTTCAGCGCGTAATGCAGAGATGAGAGACACGCTTGAAGATGGTGGGCCCGCATCCTCGTGGGCCCAAATCCGGTCGATTATTTTGAGAAGGCCCTTGGATGTTGTCAAAGCAGTGCTAATGTCTTTCAGCCGGGTTCTCACACCATCCGATTTAACACTCTGTTTGTTCAAGAAACACAAAAAGGGAAAGGAAAAGAAAATGGTAAGAAAAAAACAATGTCTTCTTGGAGTTATTGAGAAGTAATTTCTTCATTAGTTTCTCTACTAACCAAACAAAGATCAAGATTTTTGGTTTCTTTGACTTTCTTTTTCTTTGTCCTTATCGTTTTTCTTTCCTTCCTAATTTCCCGAACCAAACATAGCGTAAAGAATTGATCTTCCTAGAAAATAAGTTGTGCTATGTATGATACTATAAAGCTAGACACCAACAAATAACAAACATAACTACAGAAAACATGAAACATATATAAGTGGAAGAAAAAGGTTAGCTCTCCCACCTCAACAAGACTCAAAGAATCCAATCCCACATTGTGATCAGCAGCTGGCCTCATCGAATCCTGGTAAAAACTTCTCGGTCCAGATCGATCCCTTCTCTATTCGAATTCAAAGAAAGGCAGAGTCAAAGACTGTTCTTGGCCAACAACATTAACCATAACTGTCAAGGTGCACAACCTAAATGCAGTCACTAATGGATGATGATGATGATGAATCAAGGTAGAATGAGTGAGAATGTGTGCACCCAAACATGGTCTTAGCCTATGATTTATCCGACACAGCGACACTTAGGGCCCGTTTGGTAAGGCTAATTTGGCTAAAATGGCTGCAATTAGGCAAAAGAAAATGGCGCCCTTAGTGTAAAATCTACTCAATTTGGTGATTATGTTGATTAGCGGCTTTAGGGTATTCAACATATTTGGGTAAAACGGAAACTAGCAAAGTTTTTTTTTTAAAAAAGGGGGGAAAAAAACTCAACTTTTAGAAAATTTCAAGAAACAAAGATCATATGTATATATATATATATATATATATATACACACACACACCAGAGAGACAGGGGTCTGAGATGGGTCGCTGAAATAGGAAGACATTTCGTCTTTGGTCTTCATCACCATGGGCGACGGCACTCCATTCATCTCCCAGAGAGCGGCGGCCAACTTCCGGGCGGAGACGGGTCGGGTTGTTCCGGCGGCGGCTGGGAGAAACGGCGTCGTTCTGCAGGTGGGGACGGGAGTTTGAGATCCGCCCTTCCCCACCACAATGGCCCGCTTGATCCTGCAGCTTTGGGCTATGGAGGATGCGGCGGGAGATGACGATGACGTGTCCAAGCCCTCAATGCCCGCCGGATCCTGCCGCCCCTGCATAATCGGAGCTTTCACCCGACCCGGATCTCTTTCTTTTTAGGCATGGAGAAGAAGAGAGGAAAAAACGAAATCTTTAACGAGGGAGAGGGAGGGTTTTGACTATGTTGTCGGGAACATCATCGTCATCCACCTCCATCAGCATCTACTGTGCAGGTAATTAGACATCTGTTGGTTGTGAACGTTGAAGATTGGGGGTTTGTTGTGGACCCCGTTGAGGGGATTCAGTTTTCTTCCACCCTCGTCGTCTTGTCCGCACATCTCCCTGTTGCAAGATTTTGGGGACAAATTCCAATCACCGTAGAGAAGCCTCTGACTAATCACGTCCTGTCTAACAACATACTCCCAATCACACAAAATAATGCAAAATTTAAATTTTTTCTAATTATTCTACGGAGTATTTAACATTTCTATAGAAATAAAAAAAATTAAAAATCTTCTCTTCTGACTTGAGTGGTAGAAAGCTTACTCCATATGATTCATCGGAAACTCAAATACGTTCAAGCCCCGCGAGGCAGATGCGTTGGTTTTTTGTGCGTCATTAGGTCGAGAAATGTATGAACATATACTATTTTGATTAGATAAAATAATATTTTGAAAGTATTATATAAAAAATAAATCTAAGAAAATCATTTTGTATCAATATCTAATATTACATTTACTTAATTTATAGTTAAACTTTAACAATTTTGATAGCAAAAAGTCAAAAGTGAACAAATACTCAGAGCCAATAGGAATACGTTAAAAGTTTTTCAAAAAAAGAAGTGACAAGAATATTTTAGTTTATCAAATAATCAGTAAAAATGTATAAATAAATATAAATTTTCGTGATTTTTGAATAGTATACCTTTTTTTGGGACGGAGCAGTTACATACTCGTTATATATATATATTGCTATGAGCGAGGGCTTCCGATCTTACATTATCAATTTCTTATACCATTTTTATAATGATTATATTTTTTATTCGTATTGTTTTCATATAAAATCGACAATAAGATTAAAACTTAGTATCATATACTCCATATGATATACAAATATCACAAAGAACTCTAAAAAATCTCGATGAAAGAATATCCGAATAGATGATCGGTTCAGAAAAGGCATCGAGGTAAAGAATCGAAAAGAAACCCTCGAATGAGCTTATAATTTGCTCACCTATGAAAAATTTAAGTTACAATAATTATTAAAAGGAAACGTTTAAACATAATCTTGGTAACGTCGGGTGGCCCGACCTTCCTACGCGGACGGCGCAAAGCTGCTGGCCGAATATGGGTTGCATGGGGATCTTGGGCTGCCTGGTTGTCATCCGTATCAGATGACTTGCCGTTAAAAAATTGTATTGATTACAAGATGAAACTTGTACTTATATATTTTACTCTGTACATTTACAACTTACAAAGAAACTAATATACAAACCATTCATACACGGAAAAATTAGTTAGTTGCTCCACTAACTTCTATAACTAATTAATAGATTGTAATTAACTTAGTTTCTTCTTTTTATATTGCTATCTCCTTCATCAACCAAAATTTGTTCTCAAAGCCTAAAGAAAGTAATATTGGAGTGTTTTGAAATACATCTAAGAAATGTTATCCAAGAAATGTTTTAATTGTTGGTTTCTCATGACATTTCTTCAATTCCAGATTTATGTCACAATATCTACCTAAGGTCCACCACGTAAGGACCATAATACTCCGTACTTTGTTTGTAGGTTTACTTTATGACTTTATCACTAGTTCGATTAGTGAATTAGTGTTTAAATCAATTCAGTCATCAATTCAATTTTGAAAACTAAAGATTCTAATAATTTATGAATTAACCCCTCCATCTCTATCCTCCTCATCCGGTGGTAAATAATTTACGTAGTCACATGAAACGAATCTAATTATTGAAAATACATACCTCTCTCTCTTTATCACTCTCAAATTTTTTTGAAGAAATGCTAGATTTACAAATAAAATAATTATAAAGTTTACAAATTTATCATTTATGATTTAAATTTTCATTTTAAAGTTCTTTCAAATTACATTATTTTTTAATTAAAGTTTAAAATTAATAAATTTATGAAATTTGTGACTATTTTATTTGTGAACCAAACATTTGTCAATTTCTTCTCCCCAACGTCCATTTCCTCTGTATGTTTACCCAGAAAAACCAGAAACCCAAAAAACAATAAACCAAAAACGTGTACAGACTGATCACATTTGCGCCTGCATTATCACGACAAACGAGGAGTAATTAAAGCGCAGCTAATTTTTAATTGTCGCCGTCTTCTTTTTTTTTTTTTCATTTTCCGCCAAGAATTTATGTAACCTATTTCCCATTCCCAGTAAATTCTACGCAATTCCTCCTCCGATTCAAAGGGAAACCTCAGAGCACATCAGCTCAATATTGCTCCGCCGCCGGCCGCCAGCCGCCAGTTCCGATTTCATTTTCGCCGCCGCCGCCGCTTCCTCTCATTCGGCAACATTACTCTCGGCACCGAAGTTGGCAACTTCTGCTGTCAAGTGACCTAATTGGCCTTTCTTGCTGGGTAAGATTTGCTTTTTACCTCTGTAATTGTTGAGAAATCGGTCCCCTGGCGCCTATCTGTACTGCCTTGAAGTAAAGCTTCAGTCTTCCCGCTTCCAAATATTTTGATTTTGAAAAATGACAAAAAAAATGTTTTTTTAATGGGTTTATTTCACTATTTTGTTCTAGGAGTATGTTTCTTGATTTCCAAGATTCATCTCTTGTAGCTTCTGCAATACTTTTCAGTTTGTGAACCAAAAAACTTATATACAAATGCAGATGATATTTTGAATCAGTCAATTGCTCACAATGACATTTCTGCTAATACTTAACAGTTAAGTAATTGGTTGCTAATAGCATATTTGAGTTCCATTTTTGTGTTTTGAATGTATCTGATAATGATTTGGTCTTCTAATGCAATGACATGAGTATTTATATATGGGGCTGCTCTTATCAAGTTGTGCACATTCTTGTTCTTTTTCTCACTTAGCAGGTTTTGCATGCAATGTATGTACTAATGTCTGCTTTCTAATTGGATTATAATGTACTAATGATCTTCATTTCCACTTGAATCCATATGGTCGGATAGAATGATGTCATGTCTCGGACAATCGTCGTCGTCCACAAATACCCAATTGGATGGTAGGTTTCACAAACACATCTCCTTGTTTTAATATTTTTTTCTTCAAATTTTTGGTATTTGAAGAAACATTACACATATGAATGGATAGAACAATGCTCACTTTTTATGGTATTTTACTGGATCTGTTGTTGTTTTAAACTGCAGTGAACACACCGATATCAAGTGACGAAACGACTCCTTCATCTGTCAACCTCACCAAAGAATACGCCGTTGCTATTCAGAGTGCCTCTTATAGTGAAATATGGTCCAAGATTCACTATGAAGTCACCTCTTACCACGGGAATGGAGAGGAAGATTTGCAAGTAGAGGAGGTCCTTAAACCAAGCCGCGAATGTGTTAAAGATGCATTGTCTCATATCAAACCTTACATGCTAAGCCAAATTGTTATAAACTACTTTGAGCATAGTGAGCAAACAACTCAGTTATGTCTCTCCCTTGCTCGGTGCATCCACCGTGCTCACCAATTATATTCCCCCCTTCATAAACTTCTTGACTGTTTATCTATGGATTTTGAATCCCCTTCCAGTTCTGCTAAAAATAAGGTCGGGTCTAGCTCAAAATATTCCTTATCCCAACCCCAATGTGCTTGGGCATTTGATGCCTTCAAAAAGTTTGTGGAACTAGACAATCCCTTCCCAAGCCCAGACTCCCACAGCTTCAGCAACATGCATAGCTCCTTCACTCAGCTCAAGCACCATCTTGACATTCATCTCCAAAAGTCCCGCTCGAAGGTACTGTTAAAAATACTATATACTCCCTCCATCCTACAGTATTTGTTCAGTTTTAACTTTTTACAGTCAATCAAGGTCGATCTTTGACCTGTAATTAAATAAAAATTACATGAAATATTATTGTGTATGTTGTTGTTGTTGTTGTTGTTGTAACCTTTGCTTTGCTGCATACAATCTCTACAGGTGCAACTTCTTCGTGGAGCCACCAAAGGGGCTGCCGTGTGTTTGATTGTGACCACTGTTGGAGTAGTCATAACTGCGATTGTTATAGCTGCGCACGCTCTCGTTGCTTTGGTTGCTTCTCCAATATGCCCTTTTATTTTCCCTTCCAAGATGAGCGAGGAAGAAATGGCACGTCTAGTGCAACTCGATGATGCAGCGAAGGGCATTTTCGTCCTTCACAACCACCTAGAAACCGTCGATTGCTTGGTGGCTCGTCTGCACAATGCAATGGAGGACTATAACCGTCTTGTGCGGTTTGGGATTGAGAGGGGAAACGACAGTTATCCCATCCAAGAAGTCATATCTCAGCTCCAAAAACGGCATGACAATTTCCTCGATCAGTTGAATGGTCTTGAGGAACATTTGTGCCTTTGTCTTGCTGCTATAAACCGGGCTCGATCTCTCCTCCTCAACTGTTTTCATGTACTTCATTATCACTCTTGATAGCTGATCCAATTTATGTAACAGTAAGTTGTTTTCCACCTAATTATCTCATCAAATACTTTGTATTAATTAACACTCCATAGTAACACTAGGGTAATATCTCCTTGATTGTTTTTTGTTTGATCGTTCATTAAACAGGCAAAAACACAACTGACCATATGGTTATTGATTTTGCAACAGGTTTAACATATGAGCATACAAACAGCTGATGTCAAACATTTTGTGGGGGTTGAAGGACAACATTATTATTGTCATCCTTAAAAACAAAAAGGTCCATATTGTGTGTTAATTATCTTCAAGCTTTCATCATGTATTATTGGCTGTGAAAGTCCCGCAGGAAAACTCTTGTATTAGTACTCACAAAACAAATAGGGAGTACTAACAAAAAAGATAGATGTTTTTTAATTACAATCAGTCAATTTTTTATTCGGAATAGAAATAGAGTAAATTTCACAAATAATGTTCTCTAAGCACACATCAAAATAAGGTCTATTCTTTTGGGTTAGAAAAATTAATTTCTAATTACTTCTAGCGTCTAATTTCTTCTAACTTTTCCAGTTCTTTCCAACTCCTAGTTTTTTCAGCTCTTTCCAATTTTTTTCAACATTTAACTCTAAAATTCTTACCCAAAAGAACAAGGCCTAAATATAATTTACTTAATACAGAGTAATTGCTAAACCACGCAACAATATAGAATTATTGATGCACCAATATACATAAATGTTTGTATAATATACAATGTGTGTTACACACACACACACACCACACAGAGTCACACACACACACAACTCAATATATATAAATGATGTGGGCAGGCTAACTGGTCCATAGGGGACGAACTCAATTCCCAAACCCATCCATATTATTTTGTAAGTCACGCCAGGCTAGCACGCATGAGTACATATAGTTGACCAAAGGGAGAAAGACCAAAGTAGGACTAAAACATAAAAAATATACCAAAATAGGACTTCTATGTTTTTATTCCCGAAATAGGACTTACATTACCATACATGGTCATATACATTACCAAGAAAGTATAGTAATTTGTACATGTACACTGTCACATTACAACAGGGTGAAGTCACATTAACACAGTGCAAAGTCCTATTTCGGGAAAAAACATGAAAGTCCTATTTTGGTACTTTTCTCTATGTTTTAGTCCTATTTAGGGTGATTTCCATTGTCCAAATTTGCCCATTTTTTAAAGGCGGGATGGGCAGGCCAGATAAGCCGACCCGAGTTTGTGCATGTCTAAATTGCACAACATATGACGGGTTATCAGACCTATCTAATGGCCATGCAAGTAAGAAATGGCAACAGAAGCATGAAGAGCTGCTCCAATGGGAAGAACATCTTCATCCAGAGTGAAGTGAGGACTGTGAAGCCCTTCAACAGATTTCATCACTGTCTCATTTCTTGAACCAATAAAAAAGAAAGCAGCTTTTGTTCTCTGTGCATAAAAGCCAAAGTCCTCAGCAGCCATTGTGATATTGGCATGACCCACATTTCCCTCACCCAGCAACACTTCTCCTACTGTCTTGGCATGATCATACATTTCTTGATTGTTAACTGTTGGAGGGTAGGGTGTCTGTTCCCCCGACATGAAGGTCACTGTTGCATTGCACTGGTTCACGGCTGCTTGTGTCTCTATTATCTGGAACAAGTTGGGGTACTGGTTTTTAGTAGGCACACATATTTCAGGATTAAAAGTGTAGACAACTAATCAATATTTCACTTTCATTGAGTGACCAAAAGTGTCCCTCTCCCCTTATAAAAAGCAGAATTACCTCTTTGATTCTTTGTTGGAGATGGGAAGAACCATCAGAAGTCAAGTAACGAAAAGTCCCACCAAACTTCACTTGATCTGGTATCACATTTTCGGCATGACCCGCCTCCACGAATCCAATTGATACCACCTGCGCAGAATAATATAACAAGAATAATCTGTTTGTGGTCAAGTTTATAACAAGAATCTCAAAGGACTTCGATTGTGGTAGACTTAATTAACCAAAATGGAAAATGTTGTTTATTGATGTTTTTTGATTTCTATAGGGTGTTGCTAAATCTACCCCTCGTTTGGCTATATCCTCCCCATTTATAACAAACAGACAGGTTCACCCTCAAAAGTTTTAAACAAAAACTTGTACCTTACTAAAACAGTACTCTCTTTTTTGGGGGGGCTAGAAGTATATATCATAACAAATAACATGAATCATTTATCCACACGAGCTGCCAAATATTCTTAAAACTCAACAACAATAACAAACCCAGTAAATCTCACATAAGTAGGGTTGAAGTGTGTGTACAAAAGTTTATGTACAGTGTACATAGACTTTACCCCCTGCTTAGAGAGGTTGTTTCAAAGAGACTCCCGGCTCAACACACATAAGCACCAACAAAGTAAACACATTATCACGACCAGACTACCAGAGTAAGAGCATGGCTAGATACAAATAACACACATATCGACATTAGTAACTAGAGTACTAGACACCAAGCACAGAGCGTACACATGCACAAGGAACAACCTAAGACAAGAACACCCCAGCATAAACTAGTCTAACCAAATACTCTAACCAACATTCTTAAAATTCAAAAAACAAAACGGCGAAACTATCAAAAGCCGATGACATAAAAGAGAGGAAATGTTATGAAACAAACTCTAACAGTGGCATATGTGGAAAGGACAGCATACCCTCGCATCCAGAGGATCAGATTCTCGTGAAACAAGCTGTTGGAGGGAAAGAATGGCCATAGATAGGGCAATAACAGGGTCTCTGGTCTTATGTGGGGCCGCTGCATGCCCTCCTCGACCTTGTATTACAGCTGAAAACCTGTTTGATCCTGCAAGTAAGGGCCCTGCTTTCGAAGCAATTGTACCAACAGGAGAACCTGGCCAAACATGGAGCCCAAACAGGGATTCAATATCATCGATTACTCCTTCCTTTATCATATGGAGAGCACCACCCATGCCTTCTTCGGCAGGTTGGAAGACCAGCTTAACAGTTCCCTTCAATTTAGATAAAGAATGGCACTAATACAAATGTACAAATGTAGTTTTATGTTATTGAAATGGAATTCTTCAATTGTTTTCTCATTTACCATACCTTCAAATACTCCTTTCTGCTATGAAGCAACTTAGCTGCCCCAAGCAGCATGGTAACATGAGCATCATGACCACATGCATGCATTTTACCATCGATCTTGCTTTTATGTTCCCATTCCACTAATTCCTTTATTTAAAACAAAAATTGAACTTTGTCAAAAATATGTGGTGATAAGATGCATCATGAATCTAAAGCCGAAACACATTAACACATATTTCGACTTTAAAATTACAACCATGCTAGGGGTACACCAAGAAGTGTACCTCAAGTTGTACCCCAAAAGGATGCACCAGTATTTTAGCGGTTCACAACTCATCCGAAAGTGGTACGAAGTTGATCCGAATGAATTTCACATGTCACAAAATGCTAATTCAATAAAAAAGAATTGCACTGACATTTTGTGTGTATACTTTCGGGGTACAAATTTGAGTACAATTTTTGGTGTACAAATCGCTTAATTCACTAAAAATTAGAACAATACACATTTCCATTTTCTCAAACGAAGTAGGAGTATTATTTAAAGAAAGAAGAAGTACCTGAAGAGGGAGAGCATCCATATCGGCTCTTAAGCCAACAGTGGGAGGACCGCCGGAGCCAATAGCAGCGACCACTCCGGTGGTCGCAACCGGCCAGGAGTACTCGATTCCCAGCGCATCAAGCTCATTTCTAATTAGCTGACTCGTCCGGTGCTCTTCGAACCCTAATTCCGGGTATTCGTGGATACTCCTCCTGATCCGTTTCAACCAATCCAAGAACTGGGGAGCTCTGGCCGAGTCCAACAGGTCCCGACTCAGCTCCGACGAAGCCTCCGGTCCCGAACCGGTTGGGAGTGCCAGAGAGTAGCGGCGCTCGGATGTGGATGCCACTAGGATTAGGGCGAACACAATGCGCTTGAACCACTGTTTCGTTGACATTTTCCCAAACAATTTTTGCCAATGACTCAACCCAATCCTCCAAATTGGAGCAATCTCCATTATTAACCATTTTTATTTGAATTAAGCTGCTCTCTGATCTATCTCTCGGTGCATGGTTCACACATGCACAAATTATTACTGACTCCATTTAAAAATAATTTTTTCATTTTTTCTTTTTTCTTCGTCCGAAAATAGTATTTCCATTTTAATTTTTCATACACTAACTACCCAAAATACCCCCATTTACAATTTTCATTCTATCTCCCCTCTCCCCTTTCTCTCCCCTCCCTCATTTCCTCGTCACTTCCTTCTTATCTTTTTCTCCTTCTCTCCTTCCTCTTCTCTATTTCTTCATCTGTTTCTCTTCCTCATCAGCCCCTCCTTCTCCCCTTCCTCTTCTCTTTTTCTTCTTATTTTCCCCTTATTCTTCTTCTCCCACATGTTCTTTTTCCAGATCTATTCCTCTTTCTTTCTTTCTTTCTTTCTGTCTTCTTCTTCTTCTCTTTTTCCAATTCTTCTCTTCTCTCTCTCCCAGATCTACGGCAGATCTGTGCTAGATCTTCTTCTCAACTTTCTTCCCTTCTTTTTTCTCTCCCCTTTTCTCTGTCTCCTAGAGGTAGAGATAGTGGCGGCTATAGACGATGGTGTGATGGTGGCGAGGGTTGAGGGTCATGGTGGTGAGGGTTGATGGGCGATGGTGTTGAGGGTTAAGGCGAAAGTGGTGGGGGCTGGGTCAATTGTGGCAAGGTTGATGGAGATGGTCAGGTTAGGAGCGGCGGCGATGATGGAGCCGGCGATGATGGGGGCGGTGGTGGGTGCTAGCCTCAGCAGAGAACAATGGAGGGGAGGTGTTGGGGATGTAAAAGTGTAAAACTCTTAAGAAATGAAGAGTATATTAGACATTTTCCTTCTAAAGTCCAAATGGGAATATTAATCCCTGACGGAGAGAGTAGTATAATTTTTTTTAATCGTAATAGCATTTTGTACGAGTATATAGTATCAAAATGTTAATGTATATTCTTGATATACACTTTAAGATAGGCTTTTTAGTGTATCCCTACAACGATTGTTTTTATTTTTAGGTCAAATTTTGCAACAAAAAGTAGTCTCCCTTCTTATAAGAATGTTATACTGTATTATTTAATATCAAAGTAATTTTATTCGGTATTTATTTGTATAATTTCATTGGTCATTTAATAAAACAAAATATTTTTGTCTTTTGTAGTTTTGTCAAGAGTTTGACAGAAATTCTTCTTAATTAAATTTATGGAGCATACATCAATAGACAATGAACCTCATTTGGATGATTTTGTGTTCCTTTCTTTTGATAGAAATCATTTTTAATTTAATTAATTTGAGAATTGATTGAAATTTTAAAAAAATATTTAAAAATTACTTTTTCTGTCCAACAATAATATTCTCGTTCATTATTTACAGAGTTAAACTTTATTCAGAATGAGCTAAATCCCATCAATAAGAATAATTCCATTACGAAGGATTGCATGACGAAATATACTCTATCAAATTTTGCGCTACCCAAACGAGGTCTTAAACTCTAATGACTTATTGGGACGATGGATAATGGACCTGGGCCCAAGATGATAAAAGAGTTGCAGTTAGCAGGCCCAAACAGAAAATCCAGATTAAAACCCACCTTCTAAAACCTCTTCACTAGCAGCCCTAGGTGGCTAGGTGGAGTTCCCCCCCAGTTCCGGCCACCGTAGCAATGGGTCCTTTTTTCCGTTTCCGGCCGGAAGTTACGGTGTCTTCCACTCACCCACCGCCTTTCCGCCCCTACTTTCTTCACAGTACCTCCACGCTTGCCAATAGAGAGGAAGTACCGCCGTGTTTTTTGTTTTTTTTTTTTTTAAATGACGCAAAGAAAGTGATACTTGTTGCTTTTTCCTTCTTCCACAATACATCTGATTCCTTTCCGCCGCTTCTCCCTTTCGTCTTGGCCCAGGTAATTTCATCGTCCCTTTGGTTGGCTCCTTTTGTACACGGAATTCAAACTGAAATTGGAATTGGAGACAACAATTCAACTATTTTACTCCCTCCATCCCTAAATATTTGGCACACTTGTATTCCTAAGGTAAAATATCAAGTTTTTTCAATTTATTTTATTTACATATTGATATAAAAATAAAAAATAAAATTTACATATCAAAAAACCAAATGAAAAGTTTTTCGAAATAAGAAATGTCAAGAATATTTTATTTTATCAAATAACCAATGAAAACGTAGAAATAAACAAAAGTACCCGCGACTTCTGAAAAAGCAAATGTTGTAAATATTTTGGGACGGAAGGAGTACTATTTAATAGCACGAAGTATGCTGATTTGGAATTTTTATTGCCAAATTCAAGTCTGGAATAGGATTTCAATTCCCAATTTAATTTTGTAAATGGTTCGTCTGGTACACAGAATTAAAATTGAATTGAGAGTTGAAATTCTATCGAATTGATTTGGATGAAATTATATTCTCAAATTCTAATTCATTTTTGGCACCACCGATTCTAAACCCACATATATTTGTGATACTCACAATGAAATCTCTAATTTCAATTCCATAGCTTGGATCTCGTGTACTGAACGAAGTCTTAGTGTCCGTTTGGTATAAGAATTGACAGAATTGGAATTGAATTGACTAATCGAGAGTTAAAATTTTGTGGAATTGATTTGGATGAAATATAAGTGTCCAATTCCAATTTATTTTTGGCACGGTTAATTCCAAATTTACATATGTTTGTGCTACCAAATATCAGAATTTGAATTGTTGTTCCTAATTTCAATTCTATAATTTGAATTTCGTCTACCAAAGGAATGTTAGACCTAAGGGAATTAGGATTAATTTGGAGCGAATATAAGCTCTGACCAAATATACTTAACAATATTAACCAAAGCTCAATAAAGAAAATATATATCATATATGATCTAGATTTTTATTTGAAATATTTATTATTAAAAGCAGATCAAAGAACAACAAAAAAGCAAAGAGAAGGAAACAATTGGACCATGCTGAATGTAATGTTATGAAATCAAAATAGAAATAAAAGATGAAAAGTCATTTTTAAAAAAATTCTCAAGAAAAGCTTGTTAGCTTAAGAAGTTTGCGCGTACAACAACCTATGTTATAGTTTTTCGTTAAGTTAATAAGTAAAATAATACTACCTCTGTCCCGCTATATTCGTCCACTTTTGACTTTTGAAACTGTTCATCTAAGCACTTTGACTCATCAAATTCTCTCAATGTGTAAGCCTAAATATAGTCATGTGTGATCTTGTTTGATTTGTCTTAACATATAGATTATTAATATATAATTTCTATAATTTTTTAATATACAAATTACAAGATAAAATGGATTAAAGAAGTGTATTGGATGGTGTGTAAAAATGAAAGTGGACAAATACTCTGGGACAGAGGGAGTAATTAATAAACAATGGCATCAGTAAGCCCTAAAATTATGTTAATTACGTTCTTAAATAGTTGCTCATTCTTCTGTATATTTTCTAATAATGAATATGTTATAAGGTCTAAGTTAACATGATATGCATACCATGGATTAGTTGATGAGTATAGTATATAAGTTTGGGCCTTTGGGGTGATTGTCCCTTATGGGATTGGGGGTGACTAAGACCTAAAATAATATCGCACTAATTCAAGCAACTAACAACAATAAAATCCCGCTCGCTATCCAATACTCTTTCTAAACATGATTTATTGGAGTTTATTTGCTCAAGGAAATAAGTATAATGGCTAGAAGCAACAAGAAAGGTGAGGAAATATAATGATCAAAATTAATAATCTAATCAGAGTCTTAGATTATATCACTCTCTTAGATTATGTCACTGTATAACTTTCATCAAATTTTACCATAGATCCATTTGTTATTAACTTTGATTTGGTAAATTTCACATATTGTGTTTTATGTCTTTGTTAGCTTCAGGATTTGAAAGTGTTGAAGTAAAAAAATTCCAATCGAATGAAGAGGTAATTAAAAATAGAATAGTACACTTTTTCCAACTATCTCTACCCAATTTAGATTGCATTGATTATCTATGTTCAATTCAATTTCTCTTCTTTTCTATCAACCCTGAAAAAAGGAAGCATGATAATCCAAGATACCATTCCATCCAAAAATAAATAAAAAAATTACTTTGCTTTTCTTTGTTTGGAAAGTTTAAAATAGTATTCTTTTCTTTTTGATATTTTGTGTGTGTATGGTTGCTCTAAAGGGAATAACATTCAACATTTTCAATGACACAATGTTTCTAAGAACAATATTGGAAACATTCCCAAATGGTTTTCAGCTGAGAATAAATTGCAAAATACTTGGTATGACATTGAAAATAAGCGGAAAAAAGAGATGAGATAAAAAACAAGCTCGGAGGCATATTGTTTGGTTAAAAGGAAACATTGATTAGTGCACGTTTCAAGGTGATTTTGAAATTCAACAGAATCACCCACTCAAAAAGACTCCATTGTAGAACAAAAGTAATCCTCACTTCCTTTTGGGACGTCCTAAAAAAATAGTCCTATTTCCACTTTTGGAAAGGTTATTGTGGCTCATATTTTTTTCTCCTTTGCATCACTTTAACCACAAAATTTCTATTTTCTTAAACCTTTTTCCGAACTAAATATGGACTATTAAATTGAGACAGAGGGAGTATTGAGTTTGTTTATTAAAATGTGGTCATTATATTTATTTCCTCATCTTCCTTGTTGATTTTGGTCAGTATACTTATTTCATTAAGCACATTAATATGTAAATCATGTTAAAAACAATTTTTGGATAGCGGGCGAGATTTAATTGTTTTTAACTACTTAGATTAGTGCGAGGTTACATTAGGTCTTAGTCACCCCAATCTCACAAGGGACAATCAACCCAAACTTATATATATTATACTCATCAACTAATCAATGTGGGTACTCAAGACACACCCCAAACAAGCTGCCCATGAATTACAATTAGAATAGAGTACCGTATGCATATAATGTTAACTTAGACCTTATACTAGACTCATTATTAGAAAATATAGACGAGAATGAGCAACTATTTTAAAACATAATCAACATGGTTTTTGGGCTTACCGTTGCCATCTTTTATTAATTACAGCTTAACAGAAAACTACAACATAGTTTGCTATGTGCACGAACTTCCTTCTCTCTAGGGAGCTTTTTTGGAGATTTTTTTGAGACTCTTCTTCTTTTATTTCTGTTTTGATTTCATACATTACATTCAGCATTGTCCAATTGTTTCCTTCTCTTTGTTTTCTGTTGCTTAGAAATAATTCAAATAAAAAAAAATATGGATCATATATGATTCATACTTTCTTTATTAAGTTTTGGTTGAAGCTCCTATCTAATATTGTTAAGTATATTTCTTCAGAGTTCATATTCACTCCAAAATTAGTTCCAATTCCCATTAGGTATGCGCACCCTTGCACACAGTGCATGATTTGCTAGTAAACTTATAATATTGTGAAGTACATTTTTGTTTAGAATTCATATTCACATACATTGAACAATAACGGCTGTCTATGAATTTCGAGGCTGGTTCATAAAACCCCATTAAATTTTGTTTGTTCTAGACTTCTA